CGTGCATATAAGTTTTAGATCAAAATAAAATTCTTTTCGTTTTTCATTCAAAATACTCAAATTTTAGGAATACGTTTTCACAACATCGCCCACGTGACGACGACGTGATCATATTTAAACGGAACGCTGATCTTATAAAAGATTTCAGTTATCTGTTTGGATTGGTCTTGCTTTCATGTCCATCGTCTTTTTCATGTTGAATTGAATATGGTCTATGTTAATTATGTTTTATGAATATGTCCTGAAGATGGTCTATTAGACCGAAACGTCCGACGTTGACATTATATTAACATTAAAAGAGCATAATTGCATATTAGGATTTTTTGTTTGTTTTTTCCGTATATTTCTTCATATACATCATATATATATATATATATATATATATATATATATATATATATATATATATATATATAAAAGTGAACATTGAAGTCAACACTCAGAGGCGACAGGCTGTTTCATGCTCGACGCAATCGTCAAGCCCTGATGAGTACGTCTAGCATGAAGCTGACTGTCGCCTCTGAGTGTTGACTTCAATGTTCACTTTTATATTTACAAACACTCTATCTCTGACATTGAACACTTTATCCCATAAATATAGCACACCTTCATATATATATATATATATATATATATAAAAGTGGACGTCGACACTCTTATTCTACAGTCTGTTTCAATTGCGTTTAGCATGAAAGAGACTGTCGCCTCTGGGTGTTGACAGGATAGAGCGTGTGTAAATATGAAAGTGGACACCGAAAGACGAGTCTTTTGACGTCTTCTTGAACACAGTCTGTTTCATGATTGAACGCAATCTTCAGACCTTGTGTTTTGTGTGCTGGCTTGACTATTTATATATTCTGACCAATGGTGCATTATGGGTAGCAAGGTTTGGCATTTTCACTTTATTGTATGAGCTCAAAGGTTATTGGGTAGATGGCAACGGTTATATTTCAAATTATTCTGAAGGCCACTGAGTAGAAATAATTGTTCATTCGAATGCATTTTTGTCGCTTTTTTATCGTGTTGGATGTTAACATTTAATTCATTATTGATTACTTTGGGAAGTTTTAAGTGATTGTTATTTGTTCTATTATACGTATTGATCTATTTTGTTGATTTTATTACATTTTTATTGAAGTAAAATATGATAATTTAGTTTTACATAATAACTTCAGATGGCAGTTTTTTTTAATACATCAAATAACTTCAATAAAATATACTGATATTACCTAAAGTTTTAACCCAGACTTTGACATCGAAGTTAATAAGCTGATAAGCAGCCCACAATACTATCAATACTTGGAATTACAAATGTAGCCTTGTGAAAAGGCAAATTGAAATAGCAAAGGAAAAATTGAACAACCTTAACAGGTTTAATATGTTGTAATTGACATCTTTGATAATGGCTTATGTAAGCCGAAAGCTTAGATTGTATGAAAAAAAATATGGATCAATATTGTGAATTTCTTTCTTCGTTCAACGATAATGTTTATTAAACTTATCAGACGTTACGAAAAAATTTTACATAAAATAAATAGACAACACTTGTCTATATTATTTAATGAAATGTGCATATATATATATATATATATATATATATATATATATATATATATATATATATATATATATATAATATCACAGTTTTCCTATTTTTTTTTTTTTACAGGCTAACTCAGAGAAATTTTCACACACACACACATATATATATATATATATATATATATATAAAGGCTGAAATACTAATATTCCATGGTTATAATTTATTACATTGGGGTCGTAATTACGATCCAAATCATCAGACCTAATATTAGTGTTTGAGCCTTTTTATATTATATTCTTACTCTGTCCTGGACATTGAGTTCTACCTGGATTCTATCCTATTGGGAATTTATATATATATATATATATATATATATATATATATATATATGTAACAATACCACGGGTTGACCCAAGCCTTGTGAATGAAATTGGGTGGACGGAGCCATTGCGGGCCGTCGATAGCCGTATTAGTACGAAATCAAACTTCATCGTGACCGAAGGTTTGATCGTGCTTGTTCAAACTGTTGATCAAGCAAGATAACACGCTCTTTCCCAGAAATTGTAATTAAGGTCTGCTCAGCATAGTTGGGATCTGTGGGTTTTGAACAAACACAAATGTGCCTGAGCAAGCGTCTGCAATAGGGATTGACTAACTGCCCTAATAGACCGGTATCCTCGAATACGAGTGGACATCTATTATACGATAAAAATATAGTTTTAAGGTATGCTAAATTTGAGGGTTAAAATGCTTAAATAAAGATTTATTAGACTAAAAGAGGTATATTTATTATTTGTTTGTTTAACGACATATCAACCATTCATGGGTCATTTAACAACATCAATTAAGAAGTGTCTCCACGCGCCTCAAAACCTCCCGATCAGAGGTCTTACTGCTGAATATAGTTTATCGTCATACCCTGGACGATATATTTATTGTAATGGCTAGTTACGAGCGGGATGAGAGATGGGGGGAAGCTTATTTTATTACCAGACGTATGTAAAGATAAATATAAAAGATAAATTGAAAATTGAGGTCAGCACTCATCGGGGACAGTCTATTTTATGCTTAAACGCAATCTTCATGGACAGAAGACTCCGTTTATACAGGCTGCTCCATAATGATGGGGGACATTTTAAATGCAAATATCTTGGATTATAAAAAGAGTACCAGATATATTTATTACATAGTTCATATACAAGGGTTCAGCATATGCAATGTAATTGGCCCTGGTCTGGCATCTCGTCTGCAGTCGCTCTCTCACAGACGCGCCGTCGCCTCCATTTGTCTTTTTTACAAATATTCCCATGGTAACTGCTCCGATGGGCTGCTTTCGCTGGTTCCTAGACTTCATGAATTTAAGCGTTCAACTAGGCTGGCATTTCGCTCTCACCCTTTCACTGTCGAAACTGTTAAATGTAGTCGTCTCTTCTACTCCAATAGCTTCATGTTTCGCACTTCTCAACTGTGGAATTCCTTCTCCCTTTCCTGTTTCCCTGACAGCTATAATCTCCAACTACTCAAATGTAATGTCAATCGACGTCTCCAGATGCCTTGATCTATCCCCTATCCTTCTCTTCCTCCTTTCCTCTATCACTCCTCTTTGGTCTCGCTCCAACTCTCTGTAACCCCTTGCGTGCTAGTGGCTTCCCGCCTTGCTTGGGTGAAATGCTTAAAAAAAATATTATCTAAAATTTTGCTATTTCCTTTGAGAGAAATAGCAAAAAGACAAAAGTTATTAAGACCTATAAGGGAGAGGAAAATGTGGAGGGCCATAATCGCCTGATGGGATACGGTACATAAAAGAAGAAGAATCTGATGTCTCTTTTGCTGACGGGGGTCTAGTTGACGTATTACACTGTGAAATGAGTGAGGGAGCTCGTGCATGGTCTATTCGTGGAGGTGACCAGATCAGGGAAGTAATATTCAAATACTATCATTATGCGACAGCCTATATATATATATATATATATATAAAGAAATAATCATACATGGAATCAATCAGCAACATTAATGCTATTATTGGCGACATCCATCGCTAGTAGTGTATAATGTATGCATTAAAATACTGTTAATCCATAGAGTGGTGTGATCCTCATCTATAAAACTGTTGTCTGTTGTTTCCAGTTTATATTTTTGTATAATGCAAGTACTTTCGAATAATCCTTTATTCATCGTCAGGCATATATTTTCCTTATTAAATCAAAAGATATGCCTGACGATGAATATGCCTGGAAACAACAGTCAACAGTTTTATAAATGAGGATCACGTCACTCTATGGATTAACAGTATTTTAATGCATACATTATACACTACTAGCGATGGATGTCGCCAATAATACCATTAATATTACTGATTGATTCTATGCGTGATTATTTCTTTGTATATAAATTATATGCTGCCTAATGTTATATATATATATATATATATATATATATATATATATATATATATATATATATATATGTATGGAAGAGGCTATAGTAGTTCCAACGAGAGAAAAGTGTGTATATTAAAAAGAAGACACAAATCGCAAACGTTTTTGCCTTTATTTTCCATAATTTTCCTTTTGTTTTTGTTTTTTGTTTTTTTTATTTGTAATGTGGATTTTTAAAAAAAATATATTATGCTTTATTTTCGATAATTTTGCTACACGAATTTCCGCAAGAAAGACATTTGGGTGACTAACACACAAAAAAAGAGAATGTCTAATATTGAGAATATTTAACATCGAAAAACATATGAAAAATTAATTCCTTTTAATAATAGGTGAAAATATCCACTCTTTGCCTGATGAAGGTCGCGAGATCGGAAACACGTGGAACAAAATGATGGAAAAATAAAGCATAATATATTTAAAAAAGAATCAACATTACAACCAAAAAAAAAAAGAAGGAAATTATGGAAAATAGAGCATAGTAAAGTTTTTTTAAAAATTAAGGTGTGTTTAGATAGCAAGGATTTACGGAAACAAGTTCTGTTCTTTTCAAATGACAAGGAGTGTTAGTTTAATTTTTTATTGCATTTTTATAATAAAAAATACTTAATCTGATGAAGAAAGGAAGAGAAATTGATTCTGAAAGTCGCTAAATCTCGAGAACGCTGTTAAAGTACAATATCCATTTTGAAAAACATTTGGCATGAGACAGTGCAGTGAAGGGGAAATATTAAATAAAGGCTATTCTTATGATATATATATATATATATATATATATATATATATATATATATAGATAGATAGATAGATAGATAGATAGATAGATAGATAGATAGATAGATTCTTTTTTAATTTCTCTGAAATTATCGCTATTGCCATCATCTTTGTTGTTGCTATCACAACAGATCTGAATTCTCCGTAGGTTACACTTGATGAAGTCCGGAGTGAACAACGCCCGAAACGTTGAGATAATAACAACAAAGATCAGGACAATGGTCTGAATGCAAATATTGTAAAACAAGATAGATAGACCTGAAGAGTGTAGCATAGATAGATAGATAGATAGATAGATAGATAGATAGATAGATAGATAGATATGAAAAGGGTAGCATATATAGAGGGAAATATCATGAACAGGCTGATATATAGACAGATAGATCGATAGATCATGAACAGACTGGAATAGATAGATAGATAGATAGATAGATAGATAGATAGATAGATAGATAGATAGATTCTTTTTTAATTTCTCTGAAATCATGCCATCATCTTTGTTGTTGCTATCACAACAGATCTGAATTCTCCGTAGGTTACACTTGATGAAGTCGGAGTGAACAGATAGAAACGTTGAGATAATAACAACAAAGATCAGGACAATGGTCTGAATGCAAATATTAACAAAACAAGATAGATAGACCTGAAGAGTGTAGCATAGATAGATAGATAGATAGAAGGGATAGATATGAAAATATATATTGGGATATATCATGAACAGGCTGAGATATATAGACAGATAGATCGATAGATCATGAACAGACTGGAATAGATGATAGATAATAGATAGATAGATAGATATAGATAGATAGATAGATAGATAGATAATAGATAGATTATGAACAGACTGGGATAGATCGATAGATTAGTTATAGATAGACAGACTGATAGGATAGATGATAGATAGATAGATAGATAGATTGAACAGAGATAGATAGATAGATAGATAGAGATAGATAGATAGATAGATGGGATAGATAGATAGATAGATAGAATAGATTATGAACAGACTGGGATGAACAGATGGGATAGATAGATAGATAGATAGATAGATAGATAGATAGATAGATAGATAGATTATGAACAGACTGGGATAGATAGATAGATAGATAGATAGATAGATAGATAGATAGATATGAACAGATGAATAGATAGATAGATAGATAGATAGACTGGGATAGATAGAATAGATAGATAGATAGATAGAATGATAGATAGATAGATAGATAGATAGATAGATAGATTGATAACTGTTCTTGCCAATCAAGTAATAGCAGATGTGGAATGTCAGATGCAACTTTATAAAGTGCAAGGAGCCGTTAAGTAGACAATATGTCAGAATTTCAACATTAAAGTAATTACAAACACGCTAGCGGTTACCGAATGAAATGCTGACAAATTTGAATTTCCTAGTAACTAAATGTACTTTTTAATTTTGAACGTGTCATAGACTGTAGTCCTTTTCCCCCTTGAAAGAAATGTTTGAACATAAAAAAGATATTCTGCGTAAAGAATAATTTACACGAGTATCTAATATCGATAAATTATGTTTACGCCAAAGCTATTACTCAATGTGTGTGAATTACTTAATGTCAATAAATCTTTTCAACAAAAGGAGTGAAATAACTACAGAAAGAATCCTTATATTCTATCTGGGAGGTATGGTTTCTGCTTGGTTTAAATATCTGTCAAATAAGAAAGCGTGATCATGAGGTTTGATAATGTGCGTTTTTGCAGGTTCAGTTCTTTCTAACTGTACCCATGTTGTAGGTGGGAAACGTATTTGATTAAAATTAATGATAGTCTATTCATTTTGGGTCACTTCGATATAATATAATGCTTACCAAACGTGTCTCGCCATTTCTATTACTATTGAGTAGTGAGTCAGACGCGACATACTTTCGGCCTTGCGCCACATCTAAGCTATGCTTAGTAAATTGCCATACCAAGCTATCTATCTATCTATCTATCTATCTATCTATCTATCTATCTATCTCTGTTTCATTATTTGTCTCTGTCTACTCAGATATATATATCCCAATCTGTTTAGTCATTAGGTATCTATCGCGCTATGTTCATTATCTATCTATCTATCTATCTATCTATCTATCTATCTATCTATCTATCTATCTATCTTATCTATCTATCTATCTAGGGACGGAAACTTGTCATCATCTTTCCATATAATAAACAAATTTTTGGCGCCATTGGAAACGACACTGCGCATGCCCGTCTCCGCTCGCAGTGAAGATGCTTGGTATTTTAATAACAAAATATAAAATATGTTTTACTTAAATTCTTTGTAAAAATAAAAGTAATCGCATAGAAATTAAAATATATCCGCAGTCTATGTGCAGGAAATCTCTGAATTCCAATGAGTTGAGAAAGCAAAGCCAAACAACCTCATTTTCATTCCAAACAAGGCATACGCCTACATCTTGAAATGATGGTATTAAAAATATAAGTAAAGTGGTAAGAGTAGGCTGTCAAAAGCTGTAGTAAATCTATTCACAAACACAAAGGTTTTCTTCACTAAGATTATTGAACCAAAAGATATTTTGAAAGCTCATTAAACTTCCTTTAACCTTGTCCTTGACTAAACTAAGTCATAATATATATATATATATAAAGTAGTGTTGCTTACATTGATTACGAACGAGTTTCTTTGATTTGAACAAAGCAACCTCGGTTCCCGAACGTCTCACATGTCGAACAAATCGGTTTTCGAACAGAAAAGTCAAGATGAAAATACCTCGGTTATCGAACAACATTACCGAACCGAGCCGATCCGAGTTAACCCGAACGGATTCATTTCTTAGTCGACCGCCATGTTGTATACATTCGTGTTTTGTTCTGTGCTTTTCTTTTCCAATTTTATTGTACTGTACCTTTTTTTCTCTTCATTACTCCTCAGTCATGGTTCCAAAGAAAGCTAACAATGATACTGGTAAAAGAAAAAGAAAAGTTAAGAGAAAAACAATTGTTGATATTGTCTCTTCCTACTCAGTTTCATATGGCAAAATCAACGATCTATACTATTCTTATAAATAAAGAGACGATCATGTCTTTCCTTTCCCTTTTCAAACAATAACATCTCTTTCCTTCTCCGTCTACGCCACCCTTCCCTTACGCCATGAGCTCTCCTACTTACAGGAACGGTAAAATTAAAATGTTCGTCTGTTTCGTATTGGATTTATTTCTTTTTTCTTAGATTTAATGATTTTCATTAGTTTTGTGTATAAACTTGTGCTCAAAGTACTATTGTAAAAGTTTAAATAAGCAGTCATTTTGGGAGCAGGAACGGATTAATCCATTTTACATTGATTCATATTGGAAAAAATAGTTTCGGTTTACGAACATTTCGGGTTACGAACGGCCTCCAGAAACGAATTAAATTCGTGAACAGAAGTTCCCCTGTATATGATGTACAAAAAATCCCTTTTGTTTCAGGTGTTTTAAGAGAGAAGGGTATTTTAGAAGATTATTTTTTTATGAGTCAAACTTATTAAAACTGAAGAATCCAACTTAGAAAAAATGTAAACTTTGCAGATTTCTATCAATCTGAATTGTTTGTTATCTGTTTGTTTAACGGCACATTACCTTATGGGACATTTAATTTTCTTGGGAACTTGAGTAATTTTTTTTCTTTTTACAAAATCTAGTGCTAGTAATTAAAAAAAAACTTTTGCTGGTATTTCTTTTACTAAGAAAATGTATTTTTATGTTTTCAGTTCCCCCCCCCCCGGTTTGGGGGTTCACTATTTGCCTATAGCTAGGACCCTAACAGGTGCTACCACCCCGGTTCAGGGTAGACCTGGGAACAAGAGCGCACTGAGTGGTGTTTTTAAGTAAAATATATTTTATATTTTGTTATTGAAATAACAACAATCTTCACTGCGAGCGGAGACGGGCATGCGCAGTGTCGTTTCCAAAATTTGTTTTGTTTATTATATAGAAAGATGATGACAAGTTTCCGTCCCTTAGTATAAACGCCCGTGATAGATAGATAGATAGATAGATAGATAGATAGATAGATAGATAGATAGATAGGAAAGGACTGAGAATAGATAGATAGATAGATAGATAGATAGATAGATAGATAGATAGATAGAGAATAGATAGATAGGAAAGGACTGAGAATAGATAGATAGATAGATAGATAGATAGATAGATAGATAGATAGATAGATAGATAGGAAAGGACTGTAGATAGATAGATAGATAGATAGATAGATAGATAGGAAAGGACTGAGAATAGATACGCTCTTCAAAACCTCCCGATCAGAGACCTTGCTGCCGGATGTAGTTTATAGTCATACCCAGGATGGTACATGAAATGAAACGATTGTATCGAATCAATTGCTAGGTCTGCTGCTATGAAGATGGTTTCCCTGTGCCTAAAATGAATCTTATTTATGTGAAGACGGGAGAGTACTAACCGTTTCCGCATGGCTGATGCTAACCTCCAGTAGAGTGACTCATTGCGCCTTCTTAGATTCAAGTCTTTTTCTGACATGAATTGGGAAGATTATATCGAATCAATTGCTTAGTCTGCCGCTAAGAAAGTTGGTTCAGCTTGTCATGCTAGATAATCTTTCTTGCTCTATAATCTATCTTGCACATTCGTTCATAAGTTCTTACACTGAATAATGCTGTTACGTTTGGTCTGGTGATTCTGCTATATATTTAGAGATTCTTGATAAAATGTAAAGAAGAATCTGCAACATTATTGGTCTTGACCTGGCATCTCGGCTTCAGTCACTTTCTCACCGCCGTAACGTAGCTTCCCTAATGTTTTCTATAAATATTTTCATAGCAATTGTTCTGATGGACTTTCTTCCTTTTTTACATCGACTTCATGAATTTAAGCGCGGTACTAGATTGGCGACTAGGTCTCATCATTTCACTGCTGAAATTACTAGATGTAACCGCAAGTTCTATTCTAATAGTTCCTTCTCGCTTTCATGTTAACTACGATCTTCAAAAATTATCTTATGTCTCCTTGGATCCTCTTCCTTTTATTTTCAACTCTCCTCAATGAAGTTTTCTCGGTTTCTTTCTCGCTCAGTGATCCATTGCGTCTTAGTGGCTTTATTTTCTTGCCTAGTGTGAAATGATAAACAAAAAGAAGAAAAAAAATGAAAGAAATAACAGATGTCCTTATTTGGTGTGTCCGACTTTTACTGTTGAAATTGACCTGGGAAAGAGCCAAGTCTGCTGCTAAATCCGATTCAAGTTCCCCACTCCCAAGAGACGCAAAGATCTTGGGCGAGTCCCATTTGTCCTCTGATCGTTCTCATCCGCTCGGACTGATTAAAAAATAAAAATAAAATCAGTATTAATTAACTTAATGGTCACGTCCGCAGAGATTAGAGCCGAGATCATGACCCCCACCCCTCCCCGGTCCCGTTGAGTCGGAGAAAAACAATGGTTTTGGCTCGAGTTTTGAAGATCACGATGAAATGATTTGTCATTGGTCAGTTTCAAAATAAAGGAGAAAATTACGTCAATAGCTGACATTATTTTATGTTCGCTTTTCCCTCATTTTGCGTTTTTTTTTTTCTTTACTTTTTACAATCATTTTTTCTTTCAATTTTGCTTTTCTCTTTATCCTATCCTATTCTTTTTTTTTCTTTCTTCCATTGCTTCCTCTCTTTAATATTTTGTTGTCTTTTTCTTTCCCTTTATTTCTTTCTTTACTTTTTTCTCTTTATTATCTTATTTCTTTTCTTCTTTTCTTGTGCTTTTCTTTCGTTCGCCTTCTTTTTAATTGTTTATCTGTTTATTATTTTTTTCTTATCTTATTTCTTTTTTTTCTTAATTATTTTCGACTCTTTTTGCTTTCATTCAGTGTTTATTTTATTTTCAAATATTTCTTTTAAATTATTACTTTTACATTTGTTTTGTCCATTTCATTTTTAAAATTATTCTTTTTAATTCTTTATCTCTTTGTGCTTTTCTTTCTTTATTTCTTTCTTCATCATTTTAGTCCTTTCTTTTCTTTTCTTTTCTCTCCTTTTTTTTTTTTTTTTTGCATTTGTTTTTATTTTTTTCTTCTTTTTCTTTCCTTATGCCTTTCTCTCTTTGATTTTCTCTTTATTTTGTTGTTTGCTTCCTTTCTTTCTTTGCTTTTTTTCTCTTTATTTTGTTTCCCTTTTCTTTTCGTTCTTCTTTCTTTTCTTTCTTCCTTTCCTTGCTTTTTCTCTTTGTGACGTTTCTTTTTTTTCTTTCTTACATTCTTTGCTTTTCTCTTCTTTATTTTGTTGTCGTTTTTCTTTCTTTCTTCTCTTTCTTTCTTTCTTTCTTTGCTTTTTTCTTCTTTATTTTCTTGTCGTGTTCTTTCTTTCTTTCTTTCTTTCTTTCTTTCTTTTCTTCGTGTTTTCTTTCTTAGATTGTTTGCTTACTCTTCTTTATTTTGATATGTTTTCTTTCTTTCTTTTTTCTTTCTTTCTTTCTTTCTTTTTTCTTTCTTTACTTTTGCTATCATTATT